AATGCTTCATCAGAGCTTCTCAGGGGCCCATGTGCCTTGAACAACCTTTAGGGAATGGTAATCTAGCTTAATGGTTTCACCTGGAAAGATTTTGCCTCGTAAGGGGAAATCCAGCAATTTCTAGAGATACTTGGATCTGTTAAAATATGGGAGAAGAGAGATGCTGTTGGCCTGCAGTGGGTAAAGGCAGGGACACTGCTATATACACCATAGAGGGCAAGATAGTAGACAGGGCAAGGAATGATGGAGCACGACGTGTTGAGGGTAAGAAGCGCTTCTCTAGTGTAATGCTTCCCATGTCCACATCCACAGAATTTCAATGACTTGACTAGTCACATGGCACTAAGCTCTGGCAAAGCCAGGTCTCCAACCTGGGGTCTGAGATTACACAGACTCTTAAATCTTTTCGGATAGATAATGGGTGAACGACAGGTGAGCATGGTATCTTGTCACCACTGGACTAGAACCTAGGCCCACAGCTCTCTCCAGGTTTCTTTCCACCCAGGAAATGACTGCAAAAGTTTATTATAAATCTTTCCTTTGGCATTAAAATGTCTGTGAGTACGGCACTGAGTGTGTTCTAATAGGTCAGCAGTCTCGGGATGATCATTTCATAGAAATACCAAAAAAGCTTTCTGTATAAACTATTTAGATTAGTTAAAATGTTACTCAATTCTGAAAATAATGTAATAGTTTTTCACAAACAGAGGGAAAACTATGGTCTTTCTTCTGACACACACCCTGACAGAGTTTGTCAAATTTTTCTGAGCACTTCATACAAGTCTGAAAGTTCAAAAATTAATTAATGGTGGAGATCTAATTTTTGATTAATAATGCTGTGCCAAAGTATTAAAATCTGTTAAGTTTAACTTTGATTTTCAAGGTTGAGGTCAATAAAAAAATTTTATGGGGTTTATGGATCTTTTAATCAAAGTTATTAAACTGATTTTGCAAATTGTACACAGAGTTATTCACAAAAGGAAATCTTCAGTTTGTCTTCCCCAATGGAGAAAAGCAGGATTATGTCAAAGTAATTTTTATAGTTCCCGTCATTCATACAAATATAAACTATAAAATGCATTTTCAGAAGTTGAAGATTTTTCTGTGTTAAGGACGTGGACTATAATCTGAAAGTGAATGAATCATAAAAGAAAAATAAGACCACATGGCCCCATATTAGCTCTGATTCTACCTGCCATCTGAAAATAATTTAGGAAGCCTCTTCAGTTTCTGCAATTTAATTAAGGACTTCCAACTACAGAAGTAAACATGAACTATAGCTTTGTTTTTCTTTATTTGAATTTCACAAGTGCATTTTTAAAGGAGTGGCGTGCTGTAAGACAAAGTAAGTGATCGATGAGGTCTCAATTTATTTGCAGCTGGCTTGAGTACCCTGACAATGAGCCATTATTCTATTACAATGCTTTGAAGAAGGAACACAGCAAGTGTGGGGAGAGTGAGGAGACCTCTATAATTCTGTCACTCTAAAGGCTGGTGTATGAAATTTCATCGTATGCTAGGTTTATAAACTCAAGCTTTAAAATGTTGTTGTTGACGCAGCCTATTCTGTAAAGGTGGCGCAGAATTGGAGTTTTGTCACCCAAGGGCCTCAGTTGCACATCTATCTACATGGACAATATACCCATTCTTAAAGCTGAAGACATTAGCAATATTTTAACGAGGAAGTTAGGGTTTTCAGAGGTCTCTGCTGATTTGCTTGTCATAGCTCAAGCTAAAGTCGAATTGCCTATTTACCTTAATTTATTTGCTAGCAAAATAAAGTAGGAAATAGATAAAGTTTGCACTCCACCGCCCATGTGTCTCTGAGGTTATCAATTCCTCTGAATCAGCCAAGTAACCTGTAATAACTTATTATTCAAGCAGAGAATGTAGAAATATTCCAGGTTATATGAATTATTCAGCCCATTCATTTAACAGAAAATCCCTACACCATCATTAAGGGATACAGGGAATGGGGGAGGGATGTCAGTAATCTATCTAAGCCGGTTCTGAACCCCTGGATGCCATTAGTCTATTTTATTTTCATGACTTTCTCCTGTGAAGTGCTGTTTATCAGGTCATATTTAATTGTAGTTATTTTTCTCACTAGGAATCTTAAATGGAAAAAAGAATAAATACAATGGCAGGGATTTCTCTCAATTGCCATTCTCCTCCCCTGCCTGACACTTTTGAAAAGGAAAGCTGTTGTTGATGTGTATAGTCTTGTCAAGTAGGGCCTGAGGTCTGTTTTCAGCCAAAAATTCATTTTAACTTGAAAGGCAAGTTCAAATGGTCAGCACTAATCTTTATAATGTGATCCAAAATCGGGATTCCCAGATTTAGTAATTAAAAATACAGGCGATCCAGTCAGATTTGAGTTGTCTCTTTTGCTTATGTAGGTCGAGGTGCTTATGTACAATGAGATGGAAATTCCTTGCAAAATTTTTCTTGATGTCTTTATTCCTAGGTAATTAGAAGTAATTCAGTTATTTTCCTAGGCCTTCTTGTACTTTTACTTGCAAAATCTGGCAATTCTGCCCAAGATTAGGGTCTTTTAGGACATATGGCTTAAGGGGGGGGGTGGGGGCTTACCCTGCTCCCCCATTAATGCTCATAACCACTGCTCAGTAGTGAGTAGAAGCTACGAGGAGACAACTGCACCTTCTTAGTTATCCACACCAATTCCCTCTTTAATTTTGCAGCACTGTGATTTTTCAAAAAGTACTATCCCTTGTCAGAATAGTCATGCCCTTAAGTGGGGATGAATTCCAGTTTGAAACTCCCCATAGAAACAGCATGTGCTTCTCTATCTCAGGGTATAAATATTACAATTATGTTTTCCCCACACAATTTTAACAGCTTCCTTCCACCCTCTTATACCTCCCTGGGTATTTTCTCACCTGTTTTCATCTTTCCAGAGCTTATTTGTCTGCTTTGTCCACCGTCTTGGTTCATTGTACCTGGTTTCCCTTTCAATTTGTGCCCATAGCTCATTTCAAGTGCCCTGTACTCACCCAGGGTTTAGTAGCATTTCTTGGCTGTTTGAATGAATGAAATGTGTTGGGCACGTTGTAGAGATTTAAGATAAAATTTGAAGCAGGAATTATTGAAGCTTGAAAAGTTTAGGGGAGGGACTATCCTTATGGAAGCCATGTTAGGGAGCACAGCTCTGGTCTGCTTCCAGCCTCAACCTGTCCCTCTCTCTCCTCTGCTTTGAGCTCCCCAGCCTGCCTGCTGTGCATGTCAGGGGCTACCAGAGCCAGGCATTAGCTGCGACCAGAGTCTACAGCTCTGATACCTATGAGGGATAATAATGTTTCTGGAATGAAGACGCAGAAAATAGAAAGGTGTAAGGAACTTGAAAAGAGTGTGCTGGGAATACGTTCTGAGATGCTTAAGAGAAATATGCTCAGGAGGCTGGTTATGATCTGAAGGACTGTGTCCCTCTGAAATTCACATGATGAAACATAGTCCCAGGTAAGGTGGTATTAAGGGGTGGGCCTTTGAGAGGTGACCAGGTAATAAGGGTGTAGACCTCCTGGGTGCCCTCTTGAAAGAGGCCTGAAGGAGCTTTCCCCTAATACCATGGGAGGACACAGCCAGCAGGTGCCCTCTCTGAAGCACCAAATGAGCCCTCCCCTGACACGCAATTTGTTGACACCTTGTGCTTGGACTTCCAGCTTCTAGAAATATGAGCAATAAATTTCTGTTGTTTATAAATTACCCATCTAAGGCATTTTGTTATAGCACCAGGCATGCATTTAGACAAAGTTTAAACATAGGAACTTATACTTGTTTCTGGATAGATAAAAGGCATTAAAAGCAGAAGAAGGTATACCAGACAACTCAAAAACAAAAAAAGTCAGACAGCAAAAATATATTCTTGAGTCTACCACTGGTCAGAGGTTAGAACACACTAAAACTTTAACCCAAGAACCTGGTGATCTGGCATATTCCTCAGATATATATATATATAACATATATAAAGGACTATACAGGAAATATCCAGCCATCGTTAAACACACACACACACATAAATCCATTTTCTTTGGGGAAATAGATGCATTCGATTATCATAGTGTATAATAGAAAATATCACTTAACTCACCCCTATATTCTAATCTGATACTCAGAAAACAACTTTCAGACAATTCTGGCTTCCAGGAGACTACCCAAATGAAAATTTATCTGTTCGGTAATCAAATTCTCATGAAAACTTGCTAAAATGGCTAAATAAATAAATGTGTTATTTCATAAAATACTGCATAGCAGTAAAGATGAATGAGAGCTATTTGTAAACACGTGAGTAAATCATAAAAATGAAGTTAAAAATGAAAGCATATTGCAGCAGGATACACATGGTATGATACCATTTCTACAAATTTGTAAAAATGTAAAATAATACTATTTAGTGATACATATAAATCTGTAGGAAACATCAGACTGGGAGTGTTTACATCACAGTGAGGAAGGGGTGATGGTGGAGAAGTATGTGGTAACCCCGAGGCATATGAGAGATTTCAAGTGTGTTGAATATTTAGTATCTTAGCCTTGGTGGTGGGAAATAAGATACTATTAGAAAAAATGGGCTCTGCAGACAAAAAGTACCAGTAGCTTTAAGTTATATAATTGAGTTGAGTTTTAGTTCAATCAACCTTAGTATCACCTTTCCTTAAAAAAAAAAAATAGATTTTTGCCATATTTTACATACTTCATAATGCTTATTTTAAAATCTAAAAGGTATTTAACAGCTTTCTATCATTTATAAAACGCTCATGTTGCGTTTCTCTATTTTAATGCATCTGTCAACTCTCATTGGCATCATCTCCTGGTGGAAAGCACCACAGGTTTGTTAATAACTTCATCTATTATTGCACTAAATACCTAAGTCCAGGGTTCTTGGCACTTATAGTCAATAAAAAAAAAATTGCTTTGGATGCTCTACAGTTAGCCATTTAATTAATCTAACTAAGTCACTAGAACCTAATTTATATACTTACCATTTAGGGTGCTTCTATCAATCAAATTAGTATCAACGGGCCAATAACCTCCATCTCCATGGCGACCTGTTTATTGGGAAAGCATGACAGAGCGTGAGTCAGCATATAAACCGTGAAAGCACACATGAAACAACACGAACATACAAAACAATACCTACTGCAAGATGCACAATAACTGAATGCTAGTTTAGCCATCTCCAAGAAAGCCTCACAATATTGATGCCTTTGTACCTATGACCAAGTTTTATATTCCATGTGTGAGAAAAATTGTTTACAGAAATAAACTTTCTGAAACAAGCTCAATTCAATTTTTCTCTGAGAAGCCATCCCTATCATCTTTTGGTTTTCTTCAACATTCGCATTAAAGTATCAAAGAAAGGATTCAAACATGGTATCAGTCTAGATGTTGTTCTTTTCAGCTCTTCAAAACAGAAATGAGGTAGGTGTCATGGCTTCTAGGTCCTGCCAATTTTGTCATCCACTTGACATGACTGTGGGAAATTGTTATTATCATCTTACAAGGGACAGAATATTTCTTTCATCTTGCAACGGGGCTTAAGTATTCTTTTTACATGTGCTGAAGAAGGCAGATAGAAAAGAGACACTAGATTAGAAGTTGGTGGCTAAGCCACAGCCCATACCTTCTGAATATTTCCTACAAATGCTCTATGAAAGGGAGAAGGCTCCTCAGTTGAGGCTCCTTCCAAGAGGTATCTAACAGTTGTAAAAGTAGTACCGCATCACAAAGTCCCAAAGGTGCAGATGCTGGTGTGGATGTGGAGAGAGGGAAAGACTTTTACATTGCTGGTGGGACTGCAGACTAATACAGCCTCTTTGGAAAGAAGTATGGAGAACCCTCAAAGAACTCAAATTAGAACTCCCATTTGACTCTGCAATCCCACTCTTAGGCATGTACCCAGAAGAAAAAAAATCCTTTTCTCATAAACACATTTGCACTAGATTGTTTACTGCAGCTCAATTTACAATTGCCAAGAGGCAGAAACAACCTAGATGCCCACCAAACCAGGGATGGATTAACAAGCTGTGGTATATGTATACCATGGAATACTATTCAGCCATAAAAAGATGGTGACTTTTCATTTTTCTATTAACCTGGATGAAGGTGAAACACATTCTTCTTAGGAAAGTATCACAGGAATGGAAAGGCAAATATCCAATGTACACAATACAATGAAGCCAGCAGATGGTCTAATTCACACCAACCTAGGAGGAATTCAATTTCAATTCAACTTGGAGAGAGGGAAATGAGGGGGGAGAGGTTTGGGATGCTCCTACTTACTGGGCACAATGTAGGGTATAGGGTACACCTTTTGGGTGAGGGACACAACCACAAGAAGGAATCTACCTAGCAAATTCAAATATTGTGAACTGGTTGTTTGAAACTCTCACATTAACCTGAAATTTAAAAATCAAAATATTTCTTAAAAAAACAAACAAAAGGATATTGAGCCAAGAATTAGCCAGAAAGAATTATACTATCATCCAAAATATAATTAATGGTATTTAACTCCAGGTGATCCTTTCCCCTATTGATATATTTGTAGAACTGTAATTATTAATGTTTGATTAGGTTTCAAGTTCTAGACCCCCAGAAGAAAACATTTGAGAGCTGAATTTGTATGTGAACACACACCAGAATACAGATAATTCTCCAATTCGTTTGTTTAAAATCATGATTTCTTAAAGCACTTCTAATTAGCGGATGACGTAGAGGAACCCAGCTGGGGCTGTCAGCTACAGTAACATAGGTTGTTTCCTCACATTTATAGATTTCATTTTTCTTCATCTTTATGACTTTCAAGTCCTGACCCTGTGACATTCTTTTGCATAACAAACACTCCTCTTTCTAAACCCTTCCCAAGATTTCATCACTTTCTTTGCCAAAGAGCTTTGAAGAAATAGCTTAGAATCTGGTTCCCTGACTATACATTCATGATTTTAAAAATTCTTTTGATATCAAGTTAGAGCTGAAGTTAGGATGTCAAGCTTCCAAGAAGCAATAAAAGGAATTAATCCAATTACATTATATTACATCTTCAGCATAAAATGGAACATTTGAAATCTGCTGGGCCAGGGACTGGGAGTGCATAAAGAAGGGAAGTGAAGTGAGAGGCTCCCAGGGGTGGGGCAGGGAGGAGAAGCAGCGGGGAGAGAAGCAATTGAAAGGAGCAGACATTGGGAAAATATCAGTGGGCTGACTAAAGTATGGGCAAGTCTAGCCCTTTCCCAAATGCTTTGTTTACGTAATTCTGACATACCTGAGGTTTCAGTGAGCGGAGGATAAGCGTTACCCATGGGGAACCAGGAGATCTATGTTGGAAGAACAGAGGCAACCCAGAGGTTCTATATGAATATTAAGACAGCTTTTTCTAGGAACTGAAAGCAGCTAGATTGCAAAGCAGTCAGCCAAAAGAGATGCTAACAACCCCATCACTGAAGGCGGGAAAGCAATAAAGGGTTTCTGTTGGGAATAATCCTGGAAAGGCTGGAAATTAGGTAGGTGGCCTCTGGAGGGCTTTCCTTTCCTCTAGCATCCTGACAAATGTCTTTTTAATGAAGTTTCCAACTCCCCCTGCTAGTCTGTGGGAGGATGAGCAAACAAACCCACAAATACATCTGTGTATTACTTAGACATAAAGCTCTGTAGGTCAAGCTCCCCTAAGGTAGAGCAAGGCCATTGATTACATTGTGAATTTCAAAAGGTAGAAAAGCAATCAGACATCACACATGTCAGATCACTGGGTAAGATAAAGCAACTCTGGTAATACTTCCAAATAAGAGAGGGCATGTTAAAACTGGGGCATTCTGCCTACAGAATACAGTGTATTGATGTATGTTAATGTTTTGTTGGTTCTAATTAAACTGATACCACAAAAA